CAATAGGAATGTCCATTGCACGGAATGGGGAATATAAACCCAATAAGGCTCAGAGAGACCACCAAATAAAATGCAACGGAAACCAAAATTTCTAGTACCTGCAGACCATGTCCCTGGAAGCAAGGTACCGTAGGGATATATGCATCTGGTACTGGAGGACGGAATTTAAACTTTGAAAGATGTATATGACTCATTCCGTATAAATTATAATCAACCTGAAAATTCAATCCAAATACAATAAACCGTGGTTTCTACAGAAGGTACATCATTATAAAAGCATAATTAAATGATTAACACCATGTAATAAAGTACTGCAAAGAATCAGCTTATGCTGCTCAGTAGAACCATTAAACACGTGGAAGGCTATCAAAATATTAAATTCCTGTCTTTAAATCATTAAAAAAACTTGTTTTCATCATAGAACCAGTGGTGAACAATAAATATATTGTGTTGGGTGATAACAGATATACCATAGGTAATCGGCCCAAAGTCTGGAATATAGCTAAACCTAAGAGAAACTTAACCTCTGATAGATAGAATTGTCTTTGAATGTCAGATTGAGCGCTATCCATGACATGGTAAATTATCATACAAAAGGTTAAAAGACTTATCCTAAGGATCAATTGAAACTAGAGTTACTAACAAACCAAGTCCAGGTCAGGTCCGATGGTGAACTACAAATGTTATGATTAAAGACTTGGCACAGGATCCTCCTTGCTTATTCCATCACTTCACCATCTATCAGTTACCAAACAGTGTCCAAACATCAACCCAACAAGATAACTTATGGGAAAAGAAAACTTAGGCGCTCCACCAACTAACTTATTGCAGTCATTTTTAGATCCTACCTTCTGATATTATAATTTTTTCAGTTTTCTCAATTCTAGGGAACTACCAATCAATCAATTCTGCCACATAATTAACTTGCTATCGGTTCATTACTTGACAGATCTCGGGAACCAACAAATAGGCTAGTCAGCACTTAGATTGATTTGTTCAGGTCTTGATTATTTCCCTTTATTCTTATCTTTGACCTTTTATTTGTGTTTTTTCTATAACTTTGCTGCTTACTTTTTTCTTATGCCGGCCCTGTAAATGATTTTCTGAAATATTTAAAGAGACCTCTTGAAGTATGGTTAGATTATTCCAGCAGACAATATATTCCATTTAGCATGATATACATAATGGCAAGATGGAATTTTCCCTTCAGTTTTTATCTCTTTCCATTAGTTGAAATTCAGAAAGAACATGCATTGCTCATTTTAAAACGTGTCTTTTAGACTGGCAATGCATACATTACAAAGAATCGTGTTAAATTTCAATCATGCAAGCAGTTAATATATCTCAACAAAACATGTGCCAAGCCTCCACCATTGAGGACTAAAACTCAAACCAAGCACAAATTCAATCACAGCAAGCATGTAGCCCTGCCACATTAACACAGGTTTAAAACAATGACTATGTGTTTATCCACAACCTCTAAGATGTTGAGATGAATCCTTTACCACCACGCCCAACCCTTTCCCACTTCAGCTTAGTTAAGGGTCACCCCTCAGTAATCCTAATCACCATCACGTACATTTGTACTGTCAGTATGTTCATTCAAGTCTATCCCACTCCTCCTCCATCAGCTCTGATCTTATAATTTCTTGCACTTACAAGTTTCCAGGGCACTACCGAAACCATCTAAACAATCAGCTGAAATTTAACATATAAACCAATTATCCAGGATAAACTGAACATTCAAAGTCTATTTCTTACCAAAAATTGAAGTAGATAAGGAATATGAGATTCATAAGGCTGAAAGTTTGTTCTGAGAACAGCACCATCCTGCAAAAAATTTAAAGTGATTTAGCGGATATTTTTCTGGCAGCAGTGACACAGCTTAAATGCATATGTTCAAAGAAAAATCAAAATTATTGTTATCAACCAACTGTTTGATGCAGAAAAACAGACTGCCAAACTCCAAGTCCACCTCCAACTCTACTTGACATGACGTTGAACATTAGCAGAATAGTCGAAATAAACAATGTATTCAATGCCAGTTCCAAACTGAATTGATATAGGCTCAGCCATAGATATCGGATAGTCATTTGCCAAGTCGAACACAAAGAACCTAATCCAGGTACACTGAGGCTAACTCCGACTGAAATAATATTTTGAGAGAGAGAGAGAGAGAGAGAATGGTAATAAAATAAAATAAAATATTATTCACTGAGACAACAAGGTTGAGAATGATTCGTAATGCAACAATCCAAGTAATAATCTTCAAATAATCCAAATGAAGTCAAACAACATTACAGAACAAGCAAAACTGACATCTACAAAACTAATAGATATATTATATAGCATGCAAGAAAACAATAAGACAATCCTACATGAAGGACACTCATTAAGAAACATTTCAGACATTCAATTACCTCCCTGCCCATGAAGGAAGACGCAAATTGACTATCCTAGCACACAACACACTACGTGGAACACTGTTCTAAACTACAGTTTCTTTACACATTTTGTTTGAGAACACCAAATGCAATAAACAGATTATTTTCCATTTAAGGAATCACACCAGATTAGGTGGATTTAAATGTTACTGTGCACGCATTCGCGTGTTACTTAAAATAGTTAACAAAGAAGGCACACCTTCACGGAGCTGAATGGAAGAATAGGGTTCATGTAGCCAACCCCAAAAATTTGAGATAAAGGTTTGTTGTTTTTCAAAAACATTTAAAACATCAGGGAAAAGTGGAAAACATAAGAGACAATAGATTAACGAATCATTCAAAAAACAACAATGTACACATTTAAACTTCAAGGCAGCAAAAAATACAATCAATATTAACAAATAATTGAAAGAAAGAGAGCATAATCGTATGAATACTAGCTTTTGTTATAAAATGAAAAGCAGCAGATAAAACATGTAATCGTTATGCAGAGGCATAACCATACGAGTGATATGTTGTATGTCCCATAATGAAAGCACATAATCCTAATTTGATAAAATAGTCACTCACATGCTTTTATGTAGCTGCTCATGCAACCTTGTAAACCTTGTTTCCAACACTGGAAACTAGAAAGTTGCATCTCCACTTAGATACATGATATTCATTTTGTTAGGTGACGATTACAGCCCTAGCCATTTCCCAACAAATGCACGTCCCAGGCATTTTCACAATATAGCTACCTCACAAACCCAGCATTCTTGCTAAATGCTAATATTCCCTACAGACCTCTTCGAAAGAAAGCGAACTACTTTAAATTATGTATAGCAACAACCAGGCAAGAAAGGAATCTCTTCATCAACAAACACCACGTACTTTCCTATTAACAAGCTTCTACAGAAACTAACAACACAGATTAGGAAAAGTTTGAAGAAAGACTGCAGCAGGAGAAAAACCACACTGCGAAGGCCTATCATCTTTGCACTATTTTCTATAAGACCTTTAAGAACCAAGCAACAGGATAATAAGCAAACTTAAATCCCATGTGAGAATCAGCTGAACACAACAAAAAGAAGATATAGAACTGAAGCATCCCAAACTGCATTTTTGCAACCACATATTAGATTTACTCATCACATTTTTGGCCACCACAATGAAAATAGCTATTGTCATAAATTGTGAATGGTATTTTAACAAATCATATTGAATATTACCCGAACAAAGAAAAATACAGAAAAAGATCCATAAATATGCCCATAGAATAATAGAGCTTTCAAGACATCTTTCTGGATAATTAAGATATAAAGAATAAGAATAGAATCAATAAATAGCATTGAACTTCTGCAATGTGCACTCCTAATTAAGCAATCAGAACAGATAAAGCAAAAATACCAACAAAGTCTGAAATTCTAATTCATATGTTCCCAGGCAAAGGATGCTCCAAATTTTTTTAGTAATTAGTAAATTTCATAAATTAAACCTAGATCCCCTAAATTATCTTTATTTTATATTCCCCTGCAGTGCTTTTTCTTTGGGATTTACCTCAAATCCTACACAATTAAATGGTCAACTCTTGGGCCTAGAATAAGATATGATACCTAGCACCATGGAAGAAAAATAGAACTTCTTCAAACTCGTCACTGGTTTTGCTGATCAACTCCCATGTGTATCCAACAGATTATCACTGAGCCCAACCCAGCCCATAGCCATCACACCAGTAACTAAACTAATATTACATCGCTTTTGCTACTGCCCATGATCCATCACCAAGACCTCGCATTGCTTGCTTCCCGCATACAACCAAGACGGCAGCTGGTTGTACCAGGTACTGTTGCTCACACCTGCTGATGCTAGGGAAAACAGTGTGATAGCCATGCTCCGTGGATCAAGCATGAAGATGTTTTATTGAATGAAGAATGAGGGTATAAAAGGGATAATATTGTCTTTAGATCCAGAGAGAAGTTTGATAATTTTCATCCAACAGGCATTGCAAGAGGGAACAGAAAAATTAATGAGAAACCAAAAAAGCAATCAAGGGTTTTTATGCATCAGCTTTCACCATGATACCAAATGCTAAAATAAAAACAACACACATAGGCCGCAAGCTGTCCAATGTTTGATTGAAAAACAGAAACGGTGTAGAAACAATAAACCTTTACTGGCTGGACAAGGGAAGAATCACCAATTCATATATCAGAAGAAAGAACAACATACCAAAAGCATGCTAGCAGCACGACCAACTTCATGAGGATAATATCTTTAATTACGTCAAGGAAAGCCAAGGATGCTCGCAAGGATCACGAGAGAAACCAGAACAAAGGCAAATGCCAAATGTATAAAATTAGCAGAGAATCAACAAATGTTTTGATGAATACAGTAAATAAAGAACACAGTGACTAACAGAAGCACCGAGAACATATGTACTAAGTAAGCACGTAAAATGATTCCAATAACTGCATATTAAGCAGTAAAAATTAAACAGCATAATATGCTAAGATATTTCAATAAACAAGCATACAGCATACGGAATCGTCCTCTGTGGTTTACAGTTATGATAGTCATGGCTATAACCTAAGCAGAACTAATATTACCTCACAACTTATGTTTAGTTCCACAACTATGTAAACATGGGAACAGAACCAAGTGGACCTTAATTCAACCAGGAAAAGTCCATGCTTAGATCATAGAACTTATTTATCATCTAGAAAGTTGGAGTACTGTAACATGGTTATAGACATAGTAGTCAAGGTTGCAACCACATAGCCACACATGACAACAATTATAACAAGCCAACCAGCAGTCTATATCAACTACGAGCACACAAAAGGTATTGTCATCATTATTAACTTCCCAAAGGAGGGAATAGCAACGGCATACATCAAATAATAATAATAAAGCCGCCACGTCACATGACACCTTAAATTGACTTATAGATGGGAATATGTCAAATCATTGTGAACCCTCTTCCATTTTATAGAACTAATATGTTGAGTATAAAAGTATAATCCTCAACCCTCACTACAACTTCAGAGTTTTGGTGCACTGGAAGGGACCTTTGACACAATATCAGAGCAACCCAGGTTCAAATCTTAGTGGCCAAGAATTTCTATAGCGAATTTTTAAGATACCTCTCTCTGAGTTGAGGTTTCAGCTATGAAATGGCGTGCAATCTGTGGGGGCATGTTAAAATATAAAATTATAACTCTCAAGACTCAGTACAACTCTGGAGTCTTGGTGTAATGGCAGGGACCTTTGACATAACCAATACTAAATACTATATAACTGCTGTCCTTTTATATCTCGTGGTTTATAATTTACAGATTGATGTAACCACAGAAGAGTAATACATCACAAGCAGCCCAATTTGAGTTCAGACAACCAAAATAAAGTGACTGTGGATACAAATAGATCTTTATAAACAGGTCATCCGATGGGTAATAACCATAGAGCTTCTTTGCTCGAACAAGGCAACACTCATGCACATGTTGTCTTTTAGAAGTGGAATTCCCTTTATACTGCAAAGATCAAAATAATGTCAAGGTATCAGTTTGAACATGGGAATCCAGAACAATCGTGTAACAGAATAACTAATTCTCCAATCTCACCTACAATGAAGACGCTAACCATACCTTACCTTTAAAGCCTTCTCGAGGGCATTTGATAGAGTATGTACAAATTTCTGACCTGCAAAAACATTTGCAAAAATAAAAAAGAAACCAGACAACTGGGCAAGATTATAGTGAATCAAAGTAACAAACAGCTTATCAGAATTTGCACAAAGTGCTTCGGCGATGTAGTATGAACTAAGAAATATTACATCATTTTGAAAGAAGGGTTCTATTTGGCTACCACATCAATCCAGTCAATCAAAGAGAACCTGTAAAGGGTTCCACAATTGATTATTTCAAGGGGCAATGTGAATAACTGAGACCTAAAGACACTCAGGTACACAAAGGAAACAAACAAGGAGACACATACAGCTACTGTACTCCAAAAAGTCATTTTCATGGTCAATGATGTAAAGGTCCTTCAGTACAATGCTCTGAGCCATAGCACATAGCTCAAAAACTTTGCAAGAGGAGAGACACTTGTATCAAATATGTATCCAATACTAGACACTTCAATACTTGATGGATACATGCCAGAACCTTTTCATACATCTTAAAATATCCCATGTGTAATGGGAACAAAACAGAAACACATCTGATGTATAAAAAAAAGTAAAAACCAAATGCGCAACTGTTACATTCACATTTCTAGAAGATTTTTTTAATGCAATTATATAATTTGTCCAGTTTCTTATTGATAGAGGATATCGTTCATTAAAGCTTAGCGTGTGCATGCTTAGCATGTGCATGTATAATTTGTTTTTGTATCCATGATGGTTTGGTGTCCCAAATTTTAGGTTTGCTATCTGTGTCTCATATTCTCCCTTACATATACATATGTATAACTTGTTACCACTTCCAAGTCTCACATATCCGTATCTGTTCTTCACAGGCTCTCGTTGAAGCACCATACATCAAAAAAAACCATTACATGCTTTAAAAAACACCATGGAAGCCACTAAAGAGGTATCAATTTTCCAATGCCATCTACGAATAACTTTGGATCTCCGCCACAGGTAAGACACATTCCTGCAGGAAAGGGGGCAAGATCCTAATCTGTGAATCCTACATAGCCTGAAGCTCCTACGACATTGCATATTTCTATGGTGATCTTGTACTCCCTCACACAATTAATTATCATTCTATGGTAATCTTGTACTCCCTCACACAATTAATTAATTATCATACTCCTCACGCAGCAGACAGCAATAAGAATGTCTACAACTATAAAGAGCCAGAATACAAAACCAACAACTGATGAGCAAACATCCACTAAAATAATCAAATCCCTGGGTTGGACCAGCCAAACAATCGCGAATCAGTTATATGCGATGACAAAATAAGACAAGATCTATAGTTCAAAAAGAGAAATAAGTAGAAAAAGAAGAATTTTCGTTTTATGTGATTCATGAGCAGGGACAAGTAGGATTTTCAGCTGCAAGGGATGTGGGGTGGGGGAGTGGAGGCGGCAGGGCTCAGTGTCAGAGGTGAGCATATAAAATCAAGCTTGTTACCAATCAGATCTTTTTTTTCAGAAGGATTATCCCTCTAAATTTTACAATACAAACGATCTAGTATAACTCAATTCAACTACACAGCGGATTAAGAAAACCCAATTCAAAAACTAATTAGTTTAAAAAACTAATCTAAAATTAATAACTTACAGAAATTTAACGAACAAGAAGAAAACCCTATGTTTTATCCTTTGTTTTCTCTTTATTTTCTGTCGAAACACAATCGCAAACAGTGCACACCTTTCCATTAGACCTTTCCTCCAGTTAGCTGACTACTTGTTTGGCTAGGTGTTGCATCATTATCCAAGATTCCTTTTACAAAAAAATCTCCTCCGGTATAAACGCATGTCTAGTGGGCCTCACATCCACTACAATTCTAATAAGAATCATATCCTATTCCAACTAGGATATGTGAAGGTTATGGGTGTCTTTTGCTAAGGCAGTGAAAAAAATTAACATTCACAGATCCTAGTTTAGTGGCCCACATACAAGCTCATGCCCCTGTTCATGTGAACCACAACCCACTAGAATATCTTTCATTTTAATAATATATTTCAAAAAGAAAATATGATATATCTAGCTGGTCAACATTAGTTTCTTTGCTACCTATTTGTTGGAAACCTTGGCCGGATCTGCTTAATAAACTCTAACGTAGATACTAGCATAAATGAAACATGAATTCTACAACATGACTACAGAATTCTGACCGCATAATAATATTCTACCATACAATGCATGATAAAAAAGCTTAATCATAAATCATCGCAACTTGGATTCAAAGCAAAGAAAACCTAAATAACTGCTAGCCCAGATATCTTGCAAAAAAGGGCAAAAAAATGGTCTCAAATTTAACCTGAAATACCACTGGTAGGAGATAACCTACGTTAAAACACATGTTACTTTGTTTTCAAGAAAGAAGAAAATAAAGCAAGTAAAGAAACAAGAAAGGATATTAGAAAAAACTTCTGCAGGAATGAATGTTTCATGAAAACAATAGTCCCAAATGTACAGAGGTAACTATTTGCATTGATTTGCAAATTACATTGCCTGGAGATTGAGGATTAAACTTTTAAAGTACCTTCTTCTGGACTTTTAAGTGCATTGTCCGGACATGGAATATACAAATATGGTAAGACCTACAGAATTCAACAAAATGTATTTAAGAACAAATTACAAAACAGTCACAAAGAAATTCTACTGTTTTTGAAAGCAAATTTGCAATATTCAGAACATGTACAAAGGCATATACAGGGGAACAAACATAAGCTGCATAGTGAACAAGAGTTCAACAGAAATTTCCTGCAATAAGATTGGACATTACCCTGTCGCAAATTAGTATAATCACAATCTGAACAACACGGAGATTAAGATTCAAGTAGACAAATTTATAGCTCAAGGGAGATCCAGTATGGTTTCCATCTTCAAAGTTCAAACACAGACTTGCTTATGCGCACACGAGATCTAAAAGGCCAGATTGGTCTACAAAAGCTTGGCTTTCTCTGAAAATGAAATAATAAATAACTTGAAATTCATACAACTAAGTTCTAATAGTTTAAAGTTCTAAATGTAAATAATAGGCTTAACACTTCAAATATTAAACATATCCAGAATATTAGCTAAAATGAATCATGCACGTACGTAATGGGGTGAGCATTATTTGAGTCCAACTCAAAAAAATCTAAACCGTAGGGATGGAGACCCGCTTTTGGGCTCAATGTTAGGAATGTAGATGGGATGGATTCGTATTAAATACAAGTTAAAAATCTGAATCCAGACAAGTCAGTAAATCGTATCTGGACTCATGGTCAAATTCACTTCTTATTGGATTTTGATAGAAGTTGGTTCTTAAATATAGCAGTGTGAGTTACCAGTTATCATCATCCCACGTGAAGGTTATTGCATAAAAATTGTCAAATCTATATTTTTATCTAAAACATAATAAAATATACACCATACGTATCATCACATAAACTATTGTCTTGTTTATTATCTATGGATTTAGGAAGGTGATATCCAAATCTGAAATCCAAATCTGAACCAATAAGGTTTTGAATTCGATGTTGATATCCAAACCTGGAAATGTCCAAAATGTTAGACAGGGTTTTGGGTTCTTGAATACCATTTACCTGTAAAAGGATCAAACCAAGCACTTGAGTCCGAGTTTCCCCTTTTCAACTCTCCATTTGATCTCGCTGCTTTACATATAAGGATGTTTACCAAATTCCGAGTAAATCAATGATAACATAATAGTTGGTTCTTCAATGTCTATGCAACTATGAGGCATGAGGCATACTTCAACTAATTACCCAATCATGTTCGCAAAACATTTCCCATAAGAATTAAGTGGTTAATCTACAAAGATTTAAGCAGAATGCATTTCATTCAGATATATAAGCCTAAGAATTTACTCATTCACATAAAAGCGTGATAATCTCAACACTTATGTAAGCCTAAGAATTTCCTCATTCACATAGAAGCGTGATAATCTGAACACTTCACAAAGTAATGCTTCCTTAAATGCAAATTCATGGATTTAACATATAAAAGTATAAAAGATATATGACTAACAGGGTTTAGGACATGAGACCAAGATAGACAGCTGGAACTAGGTTTTGCTATTCAAAGTATATACGGCATTCAAAGTATACAGGGTTATAGAGGGGTGAGTTTAAAATTAAACTAAGAACCAGGAGAAAAGAGACACATCTACTTGTTCTTGTGTGATGCTAAACTTCCTGCTAGAATGCTCTAGTATCTCAAGAGCACCAATCCAGGAGACCATATCTAAAACTTAATAACAGTCAAAGTCATCAGATGTCCTTCCATCACTGTTCAGCATCATCGCGTATCAGAAACTTTACGCATCATCAGGACAAAAAAATTTAAGACGACATCAGATAAGACTAAGAATAAACCATATTTTTGACAAAATTTCTGTTTGATATAATTTTTGTTCAAGTGAATGGCCTGTTTGGAAACCAGAATTCCGTTTTAAATTCTGGAATTGGGCCAATTTTAGTGTTTGGATTCAAAAACATTTGAAGCTCTGGAATTGGCCCAATTCCAATTAGATTTTAACAGCATATCAGGCTTGGAATTTCTAAATGACACCAAAAGCTATGTCATTTCGAAATTCTATTTCTCTATTTAGACTCGCCCCTCTCCTCTCATTTCGTCCCTCTCCTCTCTTTTGATCTCGACTTCTGAACTAGAGTTAGGTTTTTATCTCGATTTCTGATAGGTTCCGATCTCGGTTCATCCCACTACTCTCTCTCGATCTCGGCTTCTCCACTTCTGATCTAGAGTTAGGTTTTTGATCTCGACCTCGACTCATCCCTCCTCCTCAATTCTCGGTCGAAGACAACATCACAGTGCTCCTAGGGATTTCTAAGAGAACAAACGCTGGAGATGATTCTCTCTATGGTTTGTTAATATACTTAAATCTCTCAAAATCCAAACTCAATCTCAAATATCTCAATAGTTCAAGTTGTTTTAGGGTCAGTTCTCAATCAAGTTCTCTACTTCGACTCGCAGAATTTGGAAGTTTGATTTTTCATTATAAGAGTTTCAATTGAGGAAAAGTTTGTGATGTTTTGGTTTACCTTTTCCGTATCATCAAAAAATGTCATTTTTGGTTCAATTTATCCTCATTTCTCTATATTGTATTGAGATTGTTTGATAAATAATTTACCTTGAGTATATAATGTGTATAGCCTATAATGCATATAAATTGCTCAGAAAATTTGTAGCTAGGTCATTTTCATTCCAAAAAGTAAAAAAGAAAAAGGAAAATTAGTATTCTGATTTTTGGTAAGTAGAGAAGTAGACAGGATTGTGGGAGTGTCAAACTTGAGTTGATTATTAGGCTTATTAAGTGTCTTAAGTCTTTCGATTGGATCTGTAGTTTTTTAGTAAGTTTGATTTGCTATGTTTGAGAATTGTTCCTAGAAGAACAAAAAGCAAAGTTGATGTCCATAAAATTAGGTTTATGATAGTTGGGATTGACCTTGGAGATAATCTTGAGTCGTAACTTCATTTCAATAGATTTAGATTTATGTATCTTGACATACTGAAGAGAGTCTATGTTGTAATTCTGCATTTTTTATATCTACACTCTTAAAATCAAGTTGATCCTCAATTCAAATCCATCTGATAACATGCCATGAAGGTAAAAATGACCATAAATATGTTCCATTCATAGTTCTAGAAGCACTTCATTGACAACTTGATGCATAATATCTTTTATCATGACATCTATATCTTTGGCGCTCTTCATAAAAGAATGCATTCGAGAATGAAAATAAAGTGCATGACATGCCGGAGTATTTTCCTTTTTACTGAAATGTTGATTATAAATAACAAGTCTAAAATCATGTTGAGTCATGCATGTGAGCAATCCTTTATGTCTTTACCACTCAAAATCATATATGAATCCTTTGTCTTTTCACTCAGAATCGTAAGATATTACAAAAAATATTCAATAGAGGATATTCAATTTGATACTAGTATATATAGGTTTTTATAATAGCAAGCCCAGTTCAAATTGAAACAAAATTGAGGTTGCATCCAAACTCAACAATCGTTATAGCAGTTTCGTCTAAAGGAGCAAACCATTTATTAATGAAACTCTGCATGTTGTTGTTATTACTGTTATTGGCACATTAACCTTTTATCCTAAGCAATACCATATTATGTTTGGGGTACCAGTATTGAAGCACATGGGAATCAATTATTAATAATACAACAATATTATGTCAAGGTGACCATTGCTTAGCAAACCCTTTAGCATGTGAACTAAACTAGCACAAATTGCATTCATGAAACTAATATGTTCACTGTTTGTAACTGCTTCTTTCTTATTATAACCAAGCTATGCCACTGTAACTTACCACACAATTTGCTTTCTAGGTTTGATGTCAGCACGGCAGATGGCTGTAACATCAGACTATATAAGTCACACACACATATATATGATTGGATCTTAAACATTGGTTTTATCTTATAGTCCTCACATATTTGCTTGTTTTGATGGGAGAGACCTTGGATTATGGTGGTTTTGGTTAATGATAGAGCAAAAAACGGTCTAACTAAATACGGAATATTGAACTTTCATGTCAAACTTGGTATATTGATCAAATATTCTTGAATTTTATCGATATACATGTCTTCTAATCATTCAGTCCATATCAAGTGGAAATATTTTTTGATATACATGTCAAGCTTGGTATATTGTTTTAGCGTAGCAAGTTGAAGGGTTATTTTGATGAACAAGAAGCTGACATTCTCTAAATTTTGTTAATTCTTGCACTCCTTATTTTACTAGAAACAGCTATATGTTTGTTTCTTAATTTGTCAGACTCTTCTTTACATGTATCTAAATTTAGTTGTTTCTTTTGGACGATAATAGTTCAGTTTTTCTTATTGAACTAAAAATACAAGCAAGATTTGTCTTCATGTTCTAATTAAAGGTTATGACTGTAATTATGAGCACATAGAATATATAATTCTCTTTTCTCATCTGATAGCACTTAGTTAACTGTAAATTATTACCCAAAGTTATTGGTCAATTATTCCTATAATCATGATCTTGAATCTGCATAGTTTTCTCTTTCATGTCGTTGGTATGTTATAATGTCATTCAATTTTCATTTCTTTTTTCCAGGTTAAGGATATTTATGAATCTCACAAGAAATGTCATGAAGCTCTAAATGCACAAGTTGCAGCTTCAAAAAAATTCGAAGACTGTAGAAACTACGTAGTTTATTCCCCCATGTTGTTTGTTCTGATAAGTTTATATTGTCCTTAGATAAAAATTGCATCCAAGATGATTTCCATATGAATCAAATTGAAGAGATTTAAAATGTTTTGATAAGCTACACTGTCAGGGTGATTTAACTTGTAGTTCTTTACATTTTGTGACAATTGTATCTTTTCGATTAGCAACAACCATACTGATAATGGTTGAGACTGTTATTTTATATTTATAGCTATTCTATGCCTCCGAAGCTTACAAATTTCCCATTGGCTTATATTTCTCTGTCAAACCAGGTAGAATTCAGACATAGTTTATATGAATGGTTGCATTGAGTTGAAGAATATAGCCAAATTTGTATGATTATCTTGGTCTCTAAATTATCTGAATTTACATGAGAAAAAAAAACCAAATCTAGTTTAGAAATTAAATATTTCAATCTTGATGCATAGCTTATGTAAATTAAATATCG